CCCGTGAATATGCTCGACAGGAACGCTTGATCCAGCAGGCCAAGGCAGAGTGGAAGAAGAAGACGGCGCCCAAGGACACCAAGACAGACAGTGGGGGTATGTTCTGACAACAAGACTCATCACGATTGCCCGGACTTTGACTGCCAGCATCATGTGCGACGTCACGCTAATTTGGTTGCTACAGTCATTACGGATCCCGAAGACAGCCGGTTCGACCTGGAGGCCTACCTGAAGTTGAAAGCTGGGGAGCTATAGATTCGATCATTGAGGATACTGAAATATAGAATGATTGGCGAATTTTCCTCCTTGCGAAGACTGTACCTCCCTTTGGTACAAGAAAGATGGCTCGGGTCCGCCCCGAATATGTATTATTGTTTGGTCTAATTCCCACTTTCGTGTTGCGAGCGAAAGGAATGATTTTCTGTTGTTCTTCTAACCTATAGATCTTCCTCCGAGACTTGTACATACCCTGGGGTGTCTGTGCATCTGTACACTACAGTCGGACCAGAAGAGCAAGAATTGTGTGGGTTTTCCGGTTTCGGCGCTGATCTCCTATCTCCGGCACGCTATCGACTACTCCGTGCAGACTGTAAGTGACGCCGCATCAAGAGGGCATGTGTAGGAGCAGGAAGCCATCGATATGGCTCTGTCAGGGTTGCCGGTGGCCACAACTACCGTCTTAATTCCTCCTCATGATTTGAGTTACCACAGCTTCAAGCAAGAGCTGTAACGCTTGTCGACCACGTCGACTTTTTCAGCCGGAATGAGATCCCATCAGCGCCATGACCTCGCTCAACCCGCTGGAGTGTCCAATCTTTTCCCTAGGAGTGGTAATGGGGTGGGGATAGAAGAGCCCGGTTTGCTCATCCCATCTCCACCCGCAGGCTGTAAATTTGCTTATGATAGCTGGATCGCCCTGCTTCGCGGCGGTTGCATCAAGGCCAAGGTAGTTTGCAGCCGCATCAGGCCGAATCGCTTCGTAGGCTCGGCTGACTTCCTTTAAGGTCTTTTCCTGGAAATGAACTAACCACAAGAATAAGGATCCAGTCAGTCGGAGATATAGTATAGGATGTGGCACTGACGTTCGTATTTTCGTACTGTTGGCTCAAGCATCTCAGGCCATGGTAGGTCTCTCAGAACCTTGTATACGTGCTCATACTTTCGTTGCCAGACAGCTCGCAATAACCTCAAACAGTTTTGAAGGGTAGCATCATTTTGCGCTAGGCCCTGTGGCATCCGCTTCGTCATGGCGCGGGCCTCGTAGCTACGCAATATTGTGTTAGTAATTAGTAGGCTGCGTGTCGGCAACTAGAATTCGTGAGACTCACATATCATCAAGGAGAAGGTGGGAGAAGAAGAAACTCGAATAAAACAAGCTCAAAAGTCCCGCTTCTTCGCTATTCGACGTTGAAAGGAAACAGGCAGGACCCTCATATTGTGACAATGTCTCGTAGAGTTCAGAAGACGAACGAGCAGTTGCGAGTACCGTAGACAGCTGCTCCTGAGAGAGGGGCGGTAGATCCATTATGGAAATAATATTCTTGCCGCTATCTGTCGGACTATGATGGAAAGGACGGTTCTTTGTCAATCGTGTTATTGCACCTCTCTAGGTGATTGGCGTAGGTCAAGTAGCGATGCCGATGCGGGGACAACTCGGAGGTCCCCCAAGCTTCTCCGATAATCGATTTAGTTAGATGCGGATACGGACAAACTAGACTACGTTACGTAGACAGACAGCGTACCGTACCTTGATGCCAAGCCTCCAGAAGAGACCACCTTGCGAAGCTCTCCCCCAAGCAGTATATTGGCGAGACTAATCGTCCAACTAACTCTCTCTCATCGGCTACAGAGCACGTCGAGAGAGACATACTCTCTTTTGTTTTTCTCAATTGATATTTCTTTTTCATTCATCTGGCCATTATGGCCGAAACACCTGTTGATGTTCTCCTAAAGGGCAAGACTGGCAGAAACACACGCGGCCTTCTGCGGATTATTATCCTATGTACCATTGCAGCAGCAGCAGTTGCCAGTCGACTCTTCAGCGTTATCCGTAAGTCATCGAGGGATCAAAATGTTCATTTTGTTAATCTAGCAAATCGACTGATCAACCACTTTTACCAGGCTTCGAGAGTATCATCCACGAATGTATGTATAGGTCAATTGTATAGCAATGGCCTTCGGCCTTGAACGAACTTCGATTGAACGAATTGATACTGACGCTCGATGATATAGTTGACCCATGGTTCAACTTCCGAGCAACAAAATACTTAGTACAGAATGGTTTCTATAGCTTTTGGGATTGGTTTGATGACCGTACGTCGTTCCCCATTGTACAAGAGTGCATGAAGCAACATGTCACTCTCCTGGAGTGCTTCTAGACTGATCGGAATTCCAACATAGGGACATGGCATCCTCTGGGACGTGTCACTGGTGGCACGTTATATCCCGGTCTCATGGTGACGAGCGGCGTTATCTACCATATCCTGCGATTCCTCACTGTCCCCGTCGATATTCGCAACATCTGCGTCCTGCTGGCGCCAGGATTCTCCGGCCTGACTGCATTGGCAATGTACCTGCTGACATCTGAGATGTCTCATTCGCCTTCTGCAGGTCTTCTTGCGGCAGCTTTCATGGGAATCGCCCCTGGTTACATCTCCCGATCGGTTGCCGGAAGCTACGATAACGAAGCGATTGCCATCTTCCTGCTTGTATTCACATTCTTTCTGTGGATTAAGGCTGTCAAAAATGGATCTATCATGTGGGGAGCGCTGACCGCGCTTTTCTACGGCTACATGGTGTCGGCATGGGGTGGATATGTCTTCATTACGAACTTGATCCCCCTGCACGTTTTTGTACTTCTGTGCATGGGTAGATACAGCACTCGCATCTACATCAGCTATACCACGTGGTATGCGCTGGGAACTCTGGCTAGCATGCAGATTCCCTTCGTCGGATTTTTGCCTATTCGAAACAGCGACCACATGTCCGCCTTGGGTAGGTCCATGCTTCGCAAGTCCCAATGAATGTTCAGGAGCTGACATTTTGCAGGTGTCTTCGGCCTGCTTCAACTTGTGGCCTTCGCCGAGTTTGTCCGCAGCTTCGTCCCAAGCAAGCAGTTCCAGAGACTTCTGACCGCCATGATCTTCATCACCTTCGGTCTCGGTTTCCTTGGGCTTGTTGTTCTGACTGTGACGGGAGTGATCGCTCCTTGGAGCGGCAGATTCTACTCCTTGTGGGACACTGGCTATGCTAAAATCCACATTCCCATCATTGCCTCGGTCTCGGAGCACCAGCCCACCGCTTGGCCAGCGTTTTTCTTCGATCTAAACTTCCTGATCTGGCTTTTCCCGGCAGGAGTCTACATGTGCTTCCGCGACCTCAAGGACGAGCATGTCTTCGTCATTATTTACTCGGTCCTTGCAAGCTACTTCGCCGGTGTCATGGTTCGACTGATGCTGACCTTGACCCCTATTGTGTGTGTTGCGGCTGCTCTGGCGCTATCTTCGATCCTCGACACCTATATGGCGACCACCTCCCCGACACCAGCATCTGAAGCCAAAACGAGCGAAGACTCGTCTTCAGAACCACTTCGCTCAGTTCGGAAGCCCAATGTTGGAATCACCTCCCATGTGTCCAAGATTATAATGACGGCGTCTGTTGTCGTCTATTTGCTCCTGTTTGTTGCACACTGCACCTGGGTTACTTCTAATGCATACTCTTCTCCTTCTGTTGTCTTGGCTAGCCGGATGCCTGACGGAAGCCAATACATCATTGACGATTACCGTGAGGCTTACTACTGGCTTCGTCAGAACACTCCTCAGAACGCCAAAATTATGTCATGGTGGGATTATGGCTACCAGATCGGTGGCATGGCGGACCGCCCGACCCTAGTCGACAACAATACCTGGAACAACACCCATATTGCCACGGTTGGTAAGGCGATGAGCTCCCGCGAAGAAGTCAGCTACCCCATCCTCCGCCAGCACGATGTTGATTACGTGCTGGTGGTGTTCGGTGGTCTGCTAGGCTATTCTGGCGATGACATTAATAAATTCTTGTGGATGGTCCGTATCGCCGAAGGTATCTGGCCCGATGAGGTTAAAGAACGGGACTTCTTTACTGCACGGGGTGAATATCGTGTGGACGATGGAGCGACCCCAACTATGCGCAACAGCTTGATGTATGAATTCTCCCTTTGCCCTCGTATCTACTACGCTGCGTCATGCTAATTCAGAAATTCAGGTATAAAATGTCTTATTACAATTTCAACTCTCTCTTCCCGTCCGGCCAAGCTGTCGACCGCGTCCGTGGGTCAAAGCTTCCAACAGAAGGTCCGCAGCTTTCTACACTTGAGGAAGCTTTCACGAGCGAGAATTGGATCATTCGTATCTATAAGGTTAAGGATCTTGACAACCTTGGCCGAGACCACAACCAGGCAGTTGCCTTCGACAAAGGTCATAAGAAAAAGCGGAGTACCAAGAAGAAGGGACCTCGGGTTCTGAGAACCGAATAGAGGACAGGATTCAAGCCTTTTTTTTTCACTGATTATAGTGCGACACTAGTGCAAATCATACCAACAACTGTCGAGCATTCTTTCTCATTTCCGTGTTGTAGTCCAGAATCCCATCACCCCTGGGAGTCCAACGGAGACGAAGGTTCGACTAGATTAGAAGATAACAGCTTTGCCCAGATATAAATGATTCCATAGATGGCAAGGCGCTTTAGAAATGATACACGACCATAAGCAAGCTGAGTGCTCAACTCAAAAAGAATAGGTGAGATCTTCTGTAAAATGTAGTAATAAAAAGAGGCGAGAAGAGATCCGAAACAATTCCAATATAAGAACAGCATAGAGAATATACAGCGAAGATAATCAGTTTGTCACCTGTACTCCGTACCCCAATACACCATGGCTGATACAATGATCGAACAATTGGCCACAAGTGCCTTTGAAAAGTTCCCCAACTCGTAGTGAGCTAGGTGGAAGTAGACGGGATGGCTCATTGCTTCTGCTGCTGAGGTTTCACGGGCGTATCGGGGACCTTCACGTCGGAGAATTCGTCCTGGCCAACTGCGCGGATGGTGTATGCATCTGGGAAATTTCCTTTTGTATAAGCAAACCGTGCTTCTCGTCGTGCCTTCTTCTCAAGAAGTGGGGTTCGTAGGGAGTACGTACAGACACTGATGGTGAAAGCGACGAGACCGAGTCCAGTAAGAGCATTCTTGAAGAGATAGGGGCGACGAGCGCGAAGGAGAGCCGCACCGGCGCGGTAGTCCTTGCCGTAATATGTCGAATTGAAACTAGACAAATATGTTGGTCAGCGACTCATTCGGAAGAGTATGGTGCAATTGGGATTGAGCCAGCTGCACGTAGTTGCTGCAGATTGTAGTGCGGCGGATGGAGTCGACGTACATTCCTGCAGGCATTGTGTGCAAGTAGAGTCTGTATGTTTGAATGATGGAGAGGCAAAGATGACAGAAGCCGGAGTGGTTTCTACGCCAATATGTATGATTGCCCGGAAACTTGACGATGATTGGAACTCGGGAAGAGAGCAGGCTCGGCGTTTGTGGTGTGCTTTTTCTGCCGGCAGAACAAACGCGAACAGCGGCTGGTAGCTGTTCTATGTAAAGTGCTCTCCTGTTGCCAGCTTTGGTCCTAACCATTTCTCTCAAATTTTATCTTCGTCAAATAGTCATCTCTACAGATTCACTGGCTAAATACTCTAAGCTATTTTCTTCCCCATAAAGTAGCAGTGAGTGAGGTTCCTCACAGCAGCCATACAAAGAGCTCTCGGGTCGGCCAAACTTGACATCCGCTGGCGGACATCCAAGAAAAGCGCCAATCCTCGCCGTCTCCTGCTGTCTACTACTTCTATTATCGTCATCCATCACCAGCATTCATTTTCTTCAACACACCATCACCAAGTCAATTAACGACAATTAGTAGATCAAGTCTTATACGCTGCTCGAAGCCTATTCACCCATTTCAGGGAGCGTTTTATTTTGCGGAAGGCTCGAGTCCCATCTACCGCTGTCCTATTGCGTATCCGGCTATTCTTTACGCGTCCATGGGGTGCGTCTCGTGAACGCCGTGGTTTCCATCGGTCCTATGTTTAGGCCGGTCTTCTTCATTTACAGTATTCGTTTGCTCTGAATTTATGCAGCGTAGACACTAGCAAGGCGGCCATTACCTCGACCATACCATATCTCGAAATATTCTCCCATCCGGTCCCTTTCATATAGCTGTTGAGCGCAGTTATTATGTCTGAAACTGCGACAAACCACCTTGCCGACCAGGTCGCACAGCTCAATGCTGCTCGAAATCTCGTTCTCGGTGACGCCGCCTTCTACCCGCAGATTGTGAACGGCATCATTCCAATAATCGGTGCGCACGCGCGATTGGAACTGCGACGATGGGGAGCGGAATTTCTGGCAGAAACATTCGCCAGTCCCGCTTTGGCGACGGCGCAAAAGGAACAATTGGCGGGCAAGGTGTTACGGACGATACGAGAGATCTTAGAGTTGCCTGAGGGAGACACCCCGGTCTTGAAGCATATAGTGCAGATTGCGGCCAGCTTGTATCCGCTGGCTTTTAGACACATGTATGTGATCAATTCTTCTCGCTCGTCGCGGCAGAGACCTGTGGAGGATCATGCCTTCGTAGATGCTCACAGCGAAGAGGGGATAGGGTCTAAAATTTGCTTAGTGTCTATGTTTACTGACGTTTGTACTCAATCACAGAATCAATCATCCAGAAGACAGCGCTTTGTGGGACGATATGACGGCTGTCAAGCAAGATATTCTACGCAAATGGGACTCATCTCCTTATCCAGTCAAAGTGTGCTGTATCAAGTTTGTTCAGCGGGTCGTTCAGGTGCAGACACATGGCCCCATTGCAGATCCTAGAGTATGTATACAGTCCTCTGACTATAGTCTTAATGAGATCTAGTCGTTGTTGACAATCTCCAGCGCCCTGAACATAATGAAACGTCCTTGGCTATCGTTCCCAAAAATCACTCCGTTTTAGCTCTACCCAATCTCGAGGCGGAGGCCTCTGGCCTGCTAGATAGGCTGCTGTCAGTCTTCCAAGAAGACGCGAGGTACCATCAGTCACCTTTCAAACCACTCAATTTGCCTCGCCGCTAATTGTTTCATGCAGCGATCCTCTCCTCGTTAATGCTACGCTAAACTGCCTGGCGGTGTTGATCCGAACTCGACAGTCCGTTGGGAACAAGATCATCAATGCTGTTCTGAACTTTTACCCTGCGAAACAGGTGCACTCTCCACTGACGCCTGCTATCCGTGTCGGCGTCAAATCGATGGAACGAACGGCTAGAGCTTTGTTTGTAAATATCCTGAAGAAGTGAGGAATTGCGACGACCTCCTGGTGTGGACAGAAAACTAATACGTCGATAGAAATCCAAGTCATCCCCTCGCGAGCAAAATGCAGCACCACATGGAACGTTTGATGCAGTCCCGCTTCGAAATCGTAGACGATGCATCCAGAAAGCGAGGACTGCCATTTGAGCCGACGGATGGGCTTGATAATGCCAAACGCGCCAGACTCGATGCAGAAACGCCTCCATTGATCAAGATTCCTCCTCTTCCACCCGGTCCTATCAGTTACGCTCAGCTGTACACCTTAACCGAAGACTCGGGTCTTTCGTCCTTTGATGTGAAACAATTACCACCCGATCTCCTAGTCAAGATCGCGGTCCCCGTGCTAGCTCGGGTCGATCCGTCTGCGTTGATGCAGGCTGTTGAAGTATGTCACACATTCGAGAGGTCTCCGCATGGAACAAGTGCTGACATTACTACTACAGGCTATCCGAGGTCGATATCAGACTCTTAGTCAACAGCAGGCCGCGAAACCTCAGGTAGCAGTCACCGAGGATGAGGATGATGACTATGAACCCGAATACCAACCTATGGACGTTGCTGTAGCAGCTGCTGAGCAGGCAGGTGCCGTATCCGCCGAAATGGCAGAGTTGCAGCCAGATCTAGTCTCTCTTGGTCCATTCGTCTTGCCGCAACCGCCGCCATTGACAGAAGAGGAGGCAGCGGAAATTGGTCGCAGCGCCGTGGGGAGAGTCTTTGAGATGCTCACATCCACTGCGATGGCCCCGAATCCTGCCAAAGGAAAAGCCCAGCAGCATCTAGGCTTTTCTCGATTAGCGGGCAGCACGTTCGACCGTGATGCCTGGGTTACCTTACTTACAAGACTCGCCACGAGAGCGCCCGCGACTCTAGAAGTCGATGATGCCAAGAAGACCGAATCAGACCCACGATCCAGGAAGACCCCAGCAATCTCGAATTTCATCCGCGAGTCATTATACCGATACATCCTCGAAGATTTTAGAGCGCGGGTCAACGTCGGGATCATGTGGTTGAACGAAGAATGGTACAATGACCGAATTCAGATGAAGTTTGCTGCTACTCAGCGGACTGAGGAAGACGAGGAGGCATCTGTACCCCTACATTACGATCAATGGGTCCTGCGACTACTGGATGGCTTTTTACCCTATCTGGATTCCCGGGATACGAAGATTTTTATCCGATTTCTCAGCGAAATACCGGAGGTCACTATTCCCATCACAAAGCGAGTCTCCAGTCTTGCGAAGGATCCCGAAAGAGTCAACTTATGTGTTCAGTCATTATTGTACGCGTCCTTTCCTTTCCTGGATCACTGTTTATGACCACTGACCCGCTGGGCTAGGTATCTCGTGATGTTCCGCCCTCCTGCTCGAGAAATGTGCCTCAACGCTTTGGAAGATGTCTACAATACGTGTAAGTTGAACTCCCTGCTCGCTTCCTTGATCTCATCAAACTGATCATCTATCCCCCAGATGAGGAATCGAGACCAGTCGCAGGGAAAATCCTTGCCAAGTGGCGGCCGCACGCGATAGAACAGCGGCAGCAACAACAAGAACAGTCACAACAACAGGGGCAGATCTCGGTGGCCAACCGTTCAGCACCAGCGGAAAGCACTGGATCACTCGCAAATGAAGGGAGTGTGCCAGCGCAAGCGGACTCTGCCATTCAGCCGCAAGTATCTGCCAGCTAAGCTTGACGACGTTCGACTTGATTCTATGCATAAGAGGATCTTCAAATGACCATGTGTGAACATTTCATTCATCTCATGGGCGTGATACCTTCAACGGCCGTCGGAAGTTCTGTAGCTTGAAATAGCTGTCTACACTAAGATATGAGATCCACCATGACTTTCCTGCCACGACGTCACCTGTACTCCTTGATAATCCAATCCTCAGACATAGAGCCTGAGATGAAATCCAATTGATGTCCAGAATCTTGCCTAAATATGTACATATTTCCTCAATAACTATGCATCTTCGAGTATAAGGCCTTATTCTGTCTCACATGCAAAGTAGTCTTAACTCCGTTAAATGAGAACAACAAACTCCCCCATTCCGTGCCGTTTGGCAGCCAACAGTGCACCCAGTTAATGGAAAGGCTGGTACGGAGTATACACCAGACGCACATGCAATAAAGAAGCAGAACACCGTACCTAGATATTTCATCAGGCATGACACAGTAAACTATGTATCGTGAGGTAATTCTTTGAACACAGAAGCCCCCAATGCAGCCGTTCGCCAATTATTCACACTGCTCAAAGAACGAAAGCAATAAGACGGACACCGTGCGAGGGAGATGTTTGTAAGAGCAGCAATATTCGTCCTTGTGTCCCCAAGCGTACATGCTAAGCCATTCATACATGGAAACTATTCTACAACACCTTGTTGAACCCTATACAAGCCCTGACGCCGGAAGATAATGAAGGTTAGATAAAGGTGGGTGCAAAGTATTCTGGTCGAAACTATCGAGCCGTCATCTGACTAGAGCCAGAGCCAGTCAGTATCCCAGACGATGGGTGCATGGAATTGACTTGTTTCGAAGAGAGAGGAGGCGAAGAATCGTGTTTTGAAGCATTCGATTGAAAAAGCCCCAGACGGGCGGGTTGCGGTGAAAAGGCGGGATTTCGAGACGATGTGGCTTGGGAAGCACGATGATCGAGGGTAGCATACGACGGGTGCGGTTTTCGCACATCGAGCGGGGAAGAGCTTAATGATCGATATCCGGATTTGCGATCCGTATCATAGTCGGGAACACCAAAATGAGCAAGACCATGGTGCTGATGCTCCTGTTCTGCTCCATACGGTGTGTTATTCGCCGAGGAATTTGCAGCCGAAAGGTTCTCCGCTATCGTGGAGGCCGAGCCGTTGGGAGCATTAATATCGACTACTCGTTTCTGAGCGGCTGGAGTCGTGAATGACGAGGCATGTGGGTTTTCAAAAACTCGACTCTGCGGCCCCGGCGGGATTTGATGTTGTTGTTGTTGATGGTTGTGATGGTGGTGATGGTGAATGGGGTGCTGCGGGTTAGCCCAAGGAGTCTGTTCAAGGAAGGCCTCCTCCGCAGCTGTACGAAAAGCATTTGAGGACATGGCTGGCATGGCTCCACGTGGTAGGCTCGTCGAAGGGTGTGAAGTAGGTGCCCTAGTTTCGATGGAAATCTGTACGGCCATGTGAGTTAGCTCGAGGTAAGTAAGCAGGTTCCTAAAAATTAAAACTTACCCCCATCTTCTCCAAATCTTCTTCGAGCTCAGACGGTCGCGCAGGTGCCAATGAAGGTGCCGCTGGGAACCCCACGTATTTGGCGATGCCAGCCATGATGGACACTTCTTGGTTGTATGCTGTTTGGTGGGCGATTTGCTGTGAACGCCGGGTGGGGAAAGGTATGTAGTGTTGCGCACTGAGCTCTTCCGTCTTGAACCGATCGTGCTGAATAGCGTAAAATTGCTTGCTGACAGCACTCGAGTGTTTCTCCCGAATGTCGCGAATCCGCTGGAAGTACGTGCTATGCGTCTGAGCTCGCTCCGCCAGACTCTTGTTCATGAGAGCTTGAATTCGGTACTGGAACAAGGTGTGTTCGTATTTTATCTTTGCATCACGGTGTCGTTTAACACACTCGAGCTGACGCAGGTATTCAGGGTGAGTCGGGTTGGGGCCAGTAAGCATTTCCAGTTCTCGATTCAATTTGGATATTCTTTCGTCGTATATCCTAAAGGAAGCATCGTCAGTAATTAGAAGGATGTAAGCTAGTCTGTTGATAATTCAACTCACTTGTCACGTAGGGCAGCGAATTCCTTCTCAAGGATCGTTAAAGATTCCATCGCGGACATCCTCTTAGCTGCTTCAGAAGCTATTAGCGAGTCGAACAAGCGGCGGCAGTATGATTCAAAACTCCACAATAGGCGACTTACATTCTTCCTCGAGCTTGGCGGCTGCTTCCCCATCGTCGGCGTCCTCTCCACGTTCAATATTTTCGTCATCGCCATCATCCGCGGGACCCTCCGCGCCCGTCTCGAGGGCACCACTATCCATGTCATCATCAGCCGTATCGCGTGTTTTCCGCCCTTTTCGCTTTCCCTTCTTGCCTTTTCTGTTTTTTGCGGGCGCCGTGGGTAGATCAGACTCGGGAAGGTCATCGGCCGGGGTATCTTCCTCGTTTGCTTTAATCACTTCTTCAATCGGCTCCGGAGACAGCGCACTGTCGTCTGCTGGAGGATCGCTCAATTCACTCTTCACCGACCCGCGGCGCTTCTGAGGCGGTTCGTCTTCGTCACCCGTCTCGCCTTCCAGATCTGCGCCAGACTCGGGTCGTTTGCGCTTCTTTCCCGTACCTTCGGATAATGTAGAGTCTTCCAAACCAAGTATCTCTTCGGCGGATTCAAGGATTCCGTTGGGCTTAGAACGAGGCTTGCTCGGTGAATCCTCAATGTGGTCGTCCCCGTCCTCGGCGTCATCGTACGTCGTCGATTGGGCCAACTTGCTGGGGCTAGGGCCATAACTGCTCACGACAATGTTGGTTCTGCGAAAATGATTCGGGGAATCTTCGATGCGCTCCGTCTCAGCTTCAGAGTCATTCTCTGGTGCTAACTTCTCGGGCTTAGGCGACTCTTCGTAGTCCGAGGGTTCATTATCCAAGACATCGTCGATGTCGCTCAGACTACTTGAACGTCCATCGTCCATGAGCGAATCATCCAATAGAAGATCTTGGTCGCCATTGGTGATTGTGGCATCAGGCCCTGTTGGCGGACCAGCAGGAGCTGACTCTCGACTTGCGGCCACCTCCATAGGCAATGGCGCGGTACGAGCACAACAACCTAGGAAAAGAAAGTATGGAGATCGGCTGAATGGGCCTCTCTGAACGGTCTGGGGAAGTCCAATACTAAGGTTGGCTAGCGGGAATGTGGTCTCGGGCAGTCAGTGGGAAGTAAGCGGTCTGGAAACTGAAAAGCTGAGTATAAAGGTCAGCTAGAACCTCAAAAATGTGAATCGACACATAAATGCACATAATAAGAATGGACATCCGTCATTGAAAACAGTGTGTTTGGGCTGTTCCTTGTCTGCAGATGAAGGCGGTGCGGAGATTTGATCGTTCTGCTACCCGGCACGCACCCCGAGATCAGCAGCAGTCTCTGGCAACTGCGCTGTCTCAGCAGAGCAAGAGGGAAAAGTTCTCGCAGGGACCGAAGCAGTAGCTTCATTAAATAGAGCAGAACCTATCGTCTCATATGGTTTAAAGCACAAAAAAACGTACCAATCAACAATGCGCCAACGGTGAAAGGAGCACTGAGCACAGCTGCCCGCGACCGAGCAGCGATTCACTTAGCCACTGCGTTCACGGGGGGCAAGCCGCAGGAACACAGAACCAAAATAAATCTGGCTGACGGTCGTTTGTATAGTCCAACAGAAGCGAATATCACCTGGGGCCTACACAAGAGGCACTGTGCGTGGGAAGATGGAGGACGAGGAGAAGAAGGAGGAGAGGGTGGAGGTGGTGGACTTCGAGAAGCGGGCGATACGACACTGCAGCGCAAGAGAAAAAGGCGGCATGGACGAGCGGAAATTGGTTCGAAATCGCGGTCGAAGGGTATCAGGAGGGTAAATAGAGAACTCAATGAGCTGAAAATGATTGATCAAACAGAGATAGAAATTCACTGGTGCTCCAGAACCCACTGATTTGCTCGGGAGCGGACAGTAGTGAGGAAGGTGAAGGAGGGAGCCCCAAGAGCGACAGCAATAATCTACCTCTTTTGCTCTGCTGAGACTCGTCGCGGTATTCCGAGCGTAATCGTATTCTGCCGTATTTTATTCCGATGCTGGCCAGGCTCCAAACAGGTGGTGGTGGACGCTGGGTTACTGACCGCCCTGGTATCAATGATTACACATCATGTGACATGTCCTTAGTTTACATTCAATTTGAGCTACATGATCTGATAAGACATCGCCTCTTAGAAAATGCGTTTTCAGAATATCTGGAAATAAATCACTTCCAGCAATGTATACTCCTGGCTACGACTCCTACTATTGACCAGTCGCGATGTATTTGTTAGCAGCTTGTCATGAAGAGGTCCCAATGCCAGTGATATCATTGCCGCTAATTGCGGATAATATCAATCCGTGCCCCGTCTGTTGATCCCATCGCGGCACTGCTTTACGACAACCACGTTGCTGGATTTGAAGAAGTCCTTGACGTTTTCTGTCAGTAACAGGATTACTAATACTGATATGCGCGCGTAAGAATCTCTCAGGAAAATAATAGACAAATATCCCAGCTGTATGAAGTCTGTGGACGCTGCGACTCTCATTTTCGGCTTTGCTGATACGATAAAGCACGTGATCTTATCCAGCTCCCGTCGCCAAAATATTTTTTCCTTTCCAGGCAAAAAAATTAGGAAACGCAACGAAGAGAGCCAGATAAAAGCGCAATTGCTTTGATAGTGGGAAACTCAACCACTGATTCTGATCTTCCTCATCGCCTGACCACATTTTATAAGGACGACAGAGATCTCCCCCCATTCTGACTTAAGATGGGCAAGAAAAGTAAGGCCCAGTCGGACGATGCCTCGCAACCAGGCAAGACAGACGCTACTCTGCCCTTTTTGGGCGGAAAGGCCGCCATTGACCCAACATTGGCTTCATTGTTCGAAAAAAGTGTATGTACTTATCCATGACTAGTATAAGGCTCTTCTAACGCTCTCATGATCGGAATCATTCAGGCTGGTCCAGTGAAAGCTCCGCCTGTGCAGCCGGTGGTCACTCAGAGAAAGGACAATGAGCCCGAAGATGATGTAGAAAAGGAAGAAGACGATGAAGAAATTTCCGAGCTTGAGGAGGACGCGGAAAGCGAAGACGAAGATATGCAAGACGTTTCGGAAGTCGCCAGTGATGCTGAGAGTACGCCGGCCGTGGATACCCAGGCCATTTCGAGCAAGAAACGGAAAAGGGCCGCTGCGGAAGATCTCGAAGAGACTTATATGCGGCGTATAGCAAAGGAGGAGCAGAAGGAACAGGAAAAGCGTCGCGCCGAGAAGGCAAAGAGGCAGAAAGTTGAGGAGGAAGGAGATGACCGTGATTCTGTATCAGACAAGTCTAAAGACGAGGATGAAGAAAGCTCGGAGGAAGAGGACGAAATTACAGTCCCCAGGCACGAGACTCAGAGCGGTGATCCGGAGTCCAAGGACCTCGAAAAGAGTAACCGAACCGTGTTCCTCGGTAACGTCTCGAGCCAGGCCATCAAGTCCAAATCGGCGAAGAAGACCCTATTGAAGCATCTGGCATCCTTTCTTTCAACTCTTCCGGAATCTACAGGGCCTCACAAAGTCGAATCGATTCGGTTTCGCTCCGTGGCCTTCGCAAGCGGCGGGAAAGTCCCCAAGCGAGCTGCCTTTGCTAGACTTGAGATATTGGATGACACTACACCAAGCACCAATGCGTACGCTGTTTACAGTACGGTGCAGGCAGCGCGGAAGGCACCTGCTGCCTTGAACGGCACTGTTGTTTTAGACCGACACCTTCGTGTCGACAGCGTTGCGCATCCGTCCCAGATCGATCACAAGCGGTGTGTCTTTGTTGGCAACCTTAACTTCATGGACAACGAGACCGACCCAGAAGAAGACGAGAAGAAGAAAAAGAAGAAGTCGGGGCCCGCGGACGTTGAGGAAGGTTTGTGGCGCACATTCAACGCTCATACCAAGGGATCCAAAGAACGGACCTCGACCAAAGGCAATGTTGAGTCTGTCCGAGTGGTCCGTGACCGTAATACCCGCGTGGGCAAAGGCTTTGCTTATGTACAGTTCTATGATCAGGTCTGTGTGGAGGAGGCACTTTTGCTGGACGGGAAGAAGTTTCCTCCCATGCTGCCGCGGAAACTCCGGGTGACGCGGGCCAAGAAGCTCCCCAGGAAGGGTGATGGCCCAGAGTCTGGGTCTCATGGCAAAGCGCTTGGGGAGGGCTTCTCGACGCTTCAAGGTCGCGCAGGTAAGCTCTTTGGTAGAGCCGGTGCGGCTAAGATGAAGGCCGAAGGGAGAAAGTCTATATCCGGGAACTCTGTGGTGTTTGAAGGTCATCGAGCAACAGAGGGCGGATCATCGCGCATCAAAATTAAGACCAAGAGTCGTGGCTCCAAAGGCAAGCCGAAGAATCGGAGTGCCAAGCGAGCTGCAGCCTACCAGGCTGCCGGAGGCAGGAAAGGAAAGATGGCAAAATAGACCTTGTCGTCTTTACATGTATAATTTTTCTTCCATCTGGTCTGTTCATGGCACATTTTCCTACGAAGCGTAACTATGTCCTCACCACATTGAGAGGATCATCTTCCTCAATCTGAAATGGCATTTTTCAAAATCATCACAGCGCTGTTTTCCAGTCAGTGTAAGATATTAGGTGACCGCCCAATAGAAGTACGCGGATGGTGTTGTAAAAGAACCTTTGACAACATTGACGTCATCAGATACACTATCTATTTCTTATCGGCCATACACATATATCCAATCCAGGTCGTCAAGTTACCTTCTTGAATGCCTCATTAATATTCTTAAACATCATCGCATCATAGTTCTAGACTGTGGCCATTGTTTGTGCTTCTAAGCCACTGACCAGACAAATCTGATACTGTTAGGTATCAGTTCTCTGAGTTACCCACCTTCCCCTGAACTCCCCGCCCAACGTGGGGAAACGGCAACAATTCTGACTTCGCCTTTGAGGCACAATATAGGCAAAATTGCAATGGGGAGATATTTATAAGACCTGTCTATCTTTATCTAAGTCTGTAATCACCGGGATTTCAGCCAGCGTTGAGCTTGATCGATGAGCAGTGTTATTCGACGGAGCACAGGATAACGCCTTTATCATTGATGCCTGAGCTGGCCCGAGAACTTCCTCCAAAACATATTGAATTATTGTCTAGCCGTCTTTTCAAAATCTCTAAAGATACCCTCGCGCTTTACAACATTGATTTCAGTTTCATCTGGTGTTTCCGTCCATTATGCGCCGCTTTCGCTCCCCTCGTCAACCGCCGTTTAATGACTCGGACGATGCAAACCCTTCTTCCAGCGAGCCAGCGCAAGACACTGCCTCAGATATTTTCTACCCCGGTTTGTTTGATGTGTTCAAGGTTCGGCATATTTTAAGATGGAAGATCATTTCAGAAGGGTTGCCAATGGAGCTTGTGGACATGATTATGGAGGCTGCAGAATACTGGCCCTCAATCGAGGCTAGGATGGACACAAGGACGATTATCAGACAGGACCATGACCGAGAGCTGCTGCGAACGGCACCGTTGTGTTATGATGAGGCGGTATGTGCTTTGACTGCGGCTGGCGATCATCAAGCCTTCAATTCCTCCGTTTCTTGGATCTATTATGGAGACTGACATCTTATGACCTATGGATAGGCACTGGGAAGCGCATCCCCAGATTTACTTCCTCATCAGACCATACATCCCTGTCGCAAGATTGTTTTCACAATCTTGTCTCATGACCAGGGCTGGGGCGGCGGTCCTAAAGGTGAAAGCCCATACGATGGGTCATATACCTGGTTCGATGTCGAAATCATACACGCGATCCCTCAAAATGGCAGCAACMAAACAGATTCGCAAGCGTCCGCCCAGCCCACTGGCCAAGGGGAGCGTCAGGAACCGATCGGTCCCCAGCACTCACATTTCTTGCCAGGTCCCGGCAAACTTCAGATGAATAAGACCGCAGTATCACAGACACAAGAATATACAATCACTTGGCATTACCTTGACAACATCGAAGCTGAATCTGCTGACGCAGAAGAGATTGAGCGTTCGCAAGGTCGTGGGCGGGCGACGCTGAATGGAAACATAGTCCGGACCTTGGGCGTGGGAGACTCCATTGCTGTCTGGGGACGAGCACGATTTCCAGGATGGTCAAACCACGTCGAATTTATATCTGTTCGAGTATTCTGGGCCGTGTAATCATGGAATGGCAAATGTACAATCTTCTAATTTTCGCTGTTCAAATCGAGGCCTTTGTCACGAGCTGGCCGTGCCTTACAGTAGTCATAGCCCGAGCAGCTTCCAAAGAGATAACAACAGCAATGCAACAGCACATGTCAATGTTGAGTATCGGCGAAATGATGCAAAAAAGAGGAGATACTTGATCAAATCTTAAGGTAGCTAGCTGGTTGACGGCAGTAGCCCTAACCCTTGCTCAATATACGGATCCTTTTGACCTCAACTTCGCATTCTTCTGCAGACGCATGAGATAGCAGCAACGTTTCCCAATCAGGCAAACAGTAATAACCTCATTCTGGTCGAAATCACGCAATCGTGCCAAGACCGCCCGTGTATGGTTCTCTGTGCTTGAATATAAGGACTCTCCATCCTCCATCACTACCAGCATCTTTGGGAGCTGTTCCCTTTCCGTCATGAATGAGATTAATGTCCGTTTAGCCTGCGACGGTCATAATTGGTGGCAGTCATGAACCGCATAGGATCCCTCGTTGTCCCCTTGATGAAGGGCGACGACGAGCACACCTCCCTCCTCGTGACATTCTCTCTTGCCTGAACCGACGGAAAGCGTCGCGGTCGGCGATTCACTCTCAAGGTCAAAGTGGGGCCTGTTGCATCGGTTGCGCAACCATCGAAGTTCAACCACTCAGCAGTCAGTTTGAGTCGCCGATTGCTCATCTATGGCCGGGCTTTCGACATCTGGAGTGTTTGAGACAGAGTTGGGAATGGAGTATCCTAGTACCTTTAGGATTGTTATCACCGCATGATCGGTGGCTTTCCTTGCTCTCTATGGACGGTTGATTACGTCTGCACCATGTGTTCTATCGTCCGAGATGCCTGGTTTCGGGCTCTCAAGCCGCTTTTGTTGCTCATCCCCATATCAATGGACTGGACAAGCGGTAAACAGTGAATCCTGCCAAGCGTCTGCAATGCAGTTTTACTGTTCGCTGGTATCATCCTGCGTCCCTTTGCTCGCCGTTTCCCGATGTATATGATGATCGAGCTCCCCCTCTTTCCGTAGGAGAAGGTGTCACGACGCTTGATATCTGTTTTCACCGAGAAAAACGCCGGTTTCTGATTCTGACCATCTGAGAGATTCCCTACTAGTTCGCACCCGTCCTATGATTCTTCATTACCTCCATTGAGATATCTTCATGTGGTAATTCCAGAGTTGTCCCATAAATTTCATTTACGAGTTCGCTGCATCTATATCTCCAAATCGTTCAACAACAATGAATCCGCCTCAGAAATGTGCTGCGGTTGTTGTGGGAGCTGGTCCTGCCGGTCTGGCCGTGGTTGGAAATCTCCTCGAGAGGCAGCTTGGTGGGAAAATTGCCTGGGTTGATCCCTACTTTCAGGCCGGACGTGTGGGCAGGAAATACCGCGAGGTTCCTAGGTGAGCACGACTATTCCCGGCTCTTTACGCGCATGGGAAACCGAGCATGCTCCAGAGGAGGAACTCACAGCTGACTGTTCGGGTCCTGTCCAGCAACACGAAAGTCTCCTTCTTCCAAGCGTATGCCACAGGTGTCCAGCCATTCCGTGCAGTCATCAGTAGTACACGCATGCCCAATACTTTCACGACTCTAGCGAAACTTGACCAAGATCAAACATGTCTGTTGCAGCATGGTGCAGACATGGTTCAGTCCCTAACAGAGGGCATTGTGAAATTGGACCGGGTTGTTCAATGCAAGGGTTATGTCGTTGCTGCCAATCTGGCGGAAAAGGTTAGTTCGAGATCCCATATTGGACTACCACAGGAGGGCAACATGAGAGAGAAATCGGATAGTTTGCTAATGCTTTCCATTTCCTCGTTCCATAGACTTCTTCCTGGACAGTACGGATCAAAAGTCATGGGTCGTCCGAGGAGTTTGAAGTTGAGACACCTAAACTCATCCTGTGTACGGGGTCGTCACCGACGACCGCTCCGGTCCCTGTTCCTGGGCACAACATTCAGAGGCTGGACCTTGACATTGTTTTGAAACCCAGCGAACTCGCCTCGTACCTTCCGCGAAACACGCCCTCGACCATCGCCGTCGTAGGGGCTTCGCATAGTGCCATTCTGGCTCTGCTCAACCTGGTAGATTTGGCCCGCAGTTCTCATCCCCAGCTCCGCATCAAGTGGTTTACCCGGCATCCCCTTCGGTATGCCGAGTACATGGACGGCTGGATCCTCCGAGATAACACCGGTCTCAAGGGTCTCGCTGCGGACTTTGCCCGCCAGCAGCTCGAAGATGAAGTTCTACCGACCTCCGAGGCAGGCCGTTTCATCAGTAAGGTCGACTGCAGCAGTGGTAAAGAGATGGCACAGTTTAAGCTGCAGTTACCCTTCTGCACTCACATTGTTCAGGCCATTGGCTTCACTCGGGATCCGCTGCCAGAGCTTTCTGTGAACGGTTCGCCATTGGAGCCGGACTTTGATCATGAAACTGGAGGATTCTACGATCAACGTGGACGTCTCGTTAAGGGCTTACATGGTGCTGGCATAGCCTTTCCAGAGCGAACAGTTGATCCTCACGGCAATGTCGAGTATGCCGTCGGGTTCTTCAAGTTCATGAAGTTCATTAAGCGAGTGTGTCCTCAATGGGTGGCCGCGTAAAAATCTGCCTTTTTCTTTTCTCTCTTCAGTCTGCATGACGGATGATGCCATGCTCTTTCGGGCCCGCTTCTCCAATCAGTTTATCTTCCTGTTTCAGATACATCAGAGATCACTGGGAGCTGTGCTCCTACAGTGTTGTTAGTGACATCATTAGCATTCTTAAACTTAATCAGAATTGATAAACAATAAGCTCAAAGCCCCTAGCCGCTTGATGAGTAAGAATGAAGCATGGCATGTTGCACGACACAAGGGATTCAGTCATCTCCACGTGCTATTCGCACCAGCCTTGAGCCTCGTAGGACGACGTATGTAAATAACATACAAACTACCTAAGGTAGTCTACCAGGTATCCAGTCACAATGCATGACAAGGAATTACAGGCACAGGTCCGTTCCTCTAGCCGTGAATCCCTTCCGGCTTCTTGCATCATTCAAACCCTCAGTCCTCAGTCATATAGAAACTTTCAGTACGAACGGTATGGTAATATACCTACAATTCAAAGTAAAAATACATCGTGTCGATACACCACCCTGGAGATTGGAAGCAGTACCTTACTCCAGTAAGCGTGAGTCCTACATGCATAATGCAGGCACATCTACAGTAGCTACGTGGTTCCCTACTTATGCATAATGACTGAATCAGAATCTCAAGATACTCAAAAATCTGCCAAACTACAGATAGACTCATGGCCTCAGCTGATACCCATGTTTTAAGCCAGTATAGCCCGTTGACGTACGTAGGAGTGGGCGGATGATGGCTGACAGAAGATCAGCTCATGCCATACGCCCATAATAGTTCGCTTTGACTTTGATCCTGAGGTAGTTAGGGATTAGCTCCGCCATTCTCCAGAAGGAAATTCTCGTAATTTCAGCCAGAGGCTGCAAATGCAATGCAATTGCCGAGCCATATTACCATGTCCACTCTGCTAACGGTCATTTCGGCTACCTGGAGACCCACAGCCATCCGATTGTGTATCTCTATGACAGAAAACAAATGAAAATCGGACATTCGAAACCGTCAGTTCGATTCTGAAATGTGTTGGGCTTACTCCGTACAACTGCAACGGACTATGGAACGATTCCCCGCGTTATCTTCGACTCATACTACTAGTAGTTCCAGCAGATCGTCGGCTACAGAGCCTCATTGTCTCTTTAACAGGCCACGAGGCCTAAAACCATAAATATGCAGTTAATTTTCACAAAACCCTATTGTTTACTTGCATTCTCCTGCAGGCCAAAGCAAGTCATTCATTACAATGTAAACATATCTACATACCATACAAAAAGCATACCCGAACAGACAAGAGTCCTTGGTCCCAACAACGAATAATGACCATTAGGTTACGCGATCACATGGATCCCCAAGCATCGCCCAGGACGAAGAGAGAAAATCGGACAAGGAAAAAGGATGTTACACCTTTTCCATTCGCAGGCCAAGAACAAACGGTAGATACCCAAAAACGGTAATCCATCCATATTCGAGCCCAAGCAAGTGCAAAGGAAAAAGGAAAAGGGCACGCCAAAAGCTATATATTCGAGTGTATCGAGCCCGCCCGCAGTGGTGTAACTCACCGCCAGAATGCTCACAACGTATGCTGCTTACATGAACGCAACCACACCCATGACGAGTGCCATCATGCCACCGGAGATCCGGTTGATGACGCCGCCATTGGCGTTGGGGACCGAAGTAGCCGAGGTAGTGGCGGAGCTCGTGTGAGAAGCCCGAGTGGTAGTCGAAGTTTCAGTGGTAGACGAGCTGCTGGTGGTCGAAGGGCTGCTGGAGGGAGAAGCAGAGGTCGAAGTCACAGTGGTCATGGAAGGAGTTCCGCTAGTAGCGGTGGAGGTAGACGTGGTAGAGGCGGTCTTAGTGGTAGTGGCAGTGGCAGTAGCCGTGGAGCTCGACACGATACCAGTAGCTCCTGCGACTGTGAAACGGTTCAAGTAGTTGGTTTCGGAGGAGTCTGCATCGGAAATGATCTCAACGGTGTAATCAGGCCGGGCAGCAATGTCAGAAGGAACATCCCAGGTGTAGCTTCCGGAATTGGGAATGCTGGCTAGGGTATGTTAGCAGATGCGCAAAGCTCTAAGTTGTCTAAATCCGAGTCACTTACAGACAATGGTTGAGCCAGAGTCAGCAGTGAAAACGGTGCCCCATTGAAGCTTGAGAGTGACAGTTCCACTGGTGGTAGGATCCCAGGACAGAGTAGTGGGTTGACCAGCAGCGAACTGGTAACCATTGGCAGGGATGTTGAAAGGATTCGACTTGCTAGCTGCAGCTGCGATGGCCGCGAGCGCGCTCAGAGACAGGAAGATGACGGAACGCATGTTGAAGACTTTTATTGACGCTATTATATATAGATTCCCAAGAAGAGGTAGCAAAGCGGGGGATAAGATAAAGTATTCCAGAAGATTGTAACGAAGGGATTCTGAATTATAGTATACGTATTCAATGAAAGGAATGGACTCTGACTGGAGGTTAAAGACAGACAGAAAGATGAGTATGATGCAACGATCGACTGGAGGGAGTAAAGAGAGAAGAGAAGAAAGAGGAGAAGGCGAGAAGGAAATAGGAGCGAGCAATAATAACCGGAAGAGCTAGGCTAAGAGAAACCTACCTAACCTTCCGCTACACCCAAGGAACCTGGTCCACCGTCCAACTCATCTCGTTTGGGGGAGCCTAGGTACCTAGACTAAGGAAGGATTGAGATTTCGCGCCAGTAGTTAGATAGTGAGGAAGCCACGAGCCAGTCATCCCCGAGGAAGAGCCAATAGGACGGTCTATTCAAGCATAAGTTCACAGCCCCCCCGAACGGAAGAGGCAAAAACAGCATAAATGGGCAATAACGCCATCGAAGAGGCTAATCCCAGCCAGACTTAGTTCCTCCTCTAGGAAGCGGCGTTTGTTCAGCTAGACCGAGTCAGTCGTAGTCATCCGCTTAGCGAGATAAGTAGGTCGAGAAGGATCCAATAATCCCGACGAAGCCCGGTCGGGGCCCCAGCTAGTTGACGCTAAGGTCGCAAAGTCTAAGGTAAAGAAGATAATAATACTAGATGCCTATCAGTGGCAATGAGCGATGGGATTTATTCAAGGGTCTGTGGGAAGCGGAGGAACTGAGGAGTTTGATAAGTGTTGCTAAGAATAATCATACCTTAACCTCCGATTCACAGAAGATGAGTGAATTATGAATGCTTTAGATCTGGTTATCCTATAGGAGACACCTAGCACCAGGAAACCCAAACCCTTGAGTGATCTACTTCTTAATTCCTGTGGTGACTTTAAATGCAGCATGGAAAATATACAAAAATATTTCTTCACAGCATCCAGCATGCCTGTTACTTGTAGGTAGGTACCTGACCTTGTGCGACTAGGGTGTTTACCCAAGTGATCATCGCGCTGTAAGTTACGGTATCTAAATGGAAGCACCAGGATAAGGTACCTTACGGTACGGATATGAAACCTTCCGGTATTATCACATTCAATACGACTGCCAACTGGGACAGTTGCGAATTGGTGAGGATGCGTCCATGAGGCATACCTCTGAGAAGGAATATCTTAGGGAGCATGAATAGTCAATAGACTTGACTTTGGATCAACTTTTAGGTCTGGCGTCCTTCGCTGCGACAGTCTGACAGCCCAGGCTGAAAGTCTCAGGGCTCTATTTGGTTCTGAAGCTAATACGTACGCGGAATTTATGTACATGGCGCCGATGTTATATAGTAACATGTCTCATCAGCACCTAGACAGCAGCAACTGTGTGTTTCGCCTCCTGAGGGTCCTGGCTCTCATCTTTGTTCTCATCAGTATGAGAGTGTCCAGTCGCCCTTTCCTCGGCCTCTGGGGCATCGAGAAATCCGTTGTCTCCCAGCCATACAATCACTTCCATCGCTCTCCGATCCTCGTCATCTTTCTGGCGTTCGATCAGCTAGTAATTTGTGCGTTAGCGTTTGAATAGGCGAAAGAAGGCCCTTTTCCTTCTTTGCTAAAGGGCGAGGATACTTACGGCTTGGAAGAGTCCCCTCCGTCCTTTCTTCTCTACAGGTTTTGCTTTGGCGCCTCGTTCAGGCAACTCATGTAGAAAATGGCATTTCTCCCCGTGCAAGCAGCGCCCATTGCGGGCGAAATGGCGACAGACTTTCTTCTTATTTACTCGAGGCGGTGGTGCTACTCGCTCCGGCCCCTCACGGCGAGAAGACACTTCGTCGGGGGCCGAATCATCACCGCTCTCGTCGGAATCCGAAGATATTTCAGATCCGCTTGACGAAGTCCAGTCGGTGCTATCTGAGCCATCGGAAAATGACGCGGCTGATCCCTCGTTTCGACTCTCTTTTGAGTCACCGGGTTCCGTCGTTGTTACCATTGTCCCAGAGGCCATGGGTGCGATAGAACTCTCATCAGGGACAGCCCCAGTCTCCGAGTCGTTGCCCTTGGAGCTGACTATCTGCACTTCGGAAGCCTGAGATTCATTTTTCTGCGTGGCGGACTCTGATCCTCTTCGCGCCTCCATTGCCACCTTTTGCAACTTTTCAACTTTGAGCCGAGCCCGCTCGGCATCCGCCTCCGCTTTCGCTACCCGTTCCTGTTCCTTCAGCAGCTTGCGTTGAAGCTTGTCAGCTTTTCGTTTCGCCTTGGCAGCTGCATCCGCCGGATCAATGACGCTCTCTGGCTTATCATTGGCGACCTTCTGGGCTTGTCTTTGCTCCTGCCTCTCAATCTTTTTCTTGTTCAGAGCTTCTTCACGGGCTTTCTTAGCCTCATCCATGGCCTTTTTCTTCTCTTCAACCTTTGCTTGCGTCGGAAATCGTTTCTTCCGTTCCTCAATCCATGCGGCAATGTCTGTGGGTGACTGAAGAGTAGCCGTCCGTCCTTTGTAGGTGAATCGCAACGGTGCTGTAGCATCAGCAGCAGCAGGCGCCAACTTCGATTCTTCATCCACGTCGTCCTCCTCACTCGATTCATGATCCTCGGTTTTGGGCGTTAGCCCTAACTGGTTGTGTTTTCGTTTCTTTTTCCTCGAGTTTAGTGCAGTATCAACTGCCGGCGGAGGTTTTACTGGCAGAGGGTTACCGAAGCTCGGGACTGGAGGCGGTGCAGGAACGCGAGGTGCAACTGCTTGCGGTTTTCCTCCAAATGCCGACGCATGATCCCGCTTTCCGCCATATTTCATTGAATTTCCACCAAAAGATTGGTTCTGGTGTGTGCTAGATTGCCGCGGCGCCCATTGATTGCTACGCCGAGAGCTAGCAAATGCTCCTGTAGGTGGTGATGTCTCAAAACCCCAACGCATTGGAGGACTCATCATCGGTGCTTGTACTGGTTGAGGGATATGTTGAGTTGAATGCACGACAGAAGGGTATGGAGGACCCGATTGCGCATTTTGGGGGGCGTAAGATGCATCATAGCCAGATTGTGGCTGATATGGAGATCCGAGAACGCCTGGCGGCTGCGAAAAGTGTTGCGGGGAAGCATACGAGGATGTATTGGACTGGTGTTGGAAACCTGGGGACCCTAAAGACGCAATCTGGGTCGACGGAATATTGCGAGAGACAGTAGGCTGAGATTGAGGTGTAAACCCGGTACAGTTTATCGACCCATAACCGAAAGAAGACGGCGTAGTAGAGGGATAGGTCGGGGTATGGTTGGCATGGTGGGGAACAAAGGAGCCTCCCCGACCTCCTCGATTCCCAAGCCCTCTGCCACGGCCTCTGTTGTGCCCTCCAGCGCCTCGTCCACCTCGCTGACCATAAGAACCGTAACCGTACTGTGGAGGCCCGGACGGAAAAGCTGACGGAGGTTGCTGCTGTTGCTGAGAAGAAGGAGGGGGAGGAGGAGGGGGAGGAAATGAGAATCCCTGGGAGCTCATTGCGGGAAGATCTCTGCAGGCCCTCGAATGAGTGACAGCATTGATGCCATCCTCTCACGCCATCCCGGAGACCTGAGAAAACCTCCGATCACTTCTGATCGCTTCTTTAGGACCGAAGCTCCAAAGTTGTTGTTCCGTTCCGAGATCCGAACTGTCGCTGTAAAGCCCGAGTAAGAAAAAGTGGAGAAGTCACGTGCTAGATCCTTGGCTATCAAACGCAGGAGGAAAAATTTAAGATGAACCGCTGCGATTGGTCGAGGCGATTCGCGATTGATCATTTGAACTTCTCTTGTTGCAGATTCAAATACAATTTTATACTAATGTCATGAATCGGTGATTACTGGAACATAATTTAGAAGGGGCCGTTACAGCGTCCTACATGGTTAGGATGCAAGTTTTGTCTTGCCGCTAATCCTCTCTGCGACTGCGTGGAAATAGAAACTACTACCTATCCTGATCACTGCTCATGCGATACCTCGTTCCTTTGTAACATATTCGAAATGTTCATTCTTGTCAGTTGACAGACGTCCTTGATCAATCTTAATTTATCTTGTCATGAACAGACAAGCTGACTGCAGCGACGCAGACAACCGTCTCAGATCTCATCCAGATCTCTCCTGAAGACTTCTCCAAGTACAGCGCTGTCGCAATCGAGGACAACATCAACGAAAAGTATGCAAATAAAGTACGATGAAGTCACTCTGAACGAGGTGGCAGTCGCCTTGACTGACATGGTTCGCTTGTGCAGGTCATTCAAAAAATTGGCCTTTGCATTGGATTCTATGACTTGTTAGAATCGTCGGATGGTCTAATAGGCCATGGCACTGGTTTGGTCAACGTAAACGGTATGTCTCGAAGGATTTCCCGGCTGAAGGACTGCTTTACTTATTGTCTATAGTGAAATTCCGGCTCATCGTCTTCCGGCCGTTCAAAGGAGAAATCCTACTAGGCAAGATCTCCAGTGCTACTCAACAAGGGATTAAGAGTATGCAACTGCCTCAAGCTCGCGGTCACTATACTCACGCTAATACAAAAAGCAGTTGGTGTAGAATTTTTCAATGACATTCTCATTCCCCCGGATCTTCTGTTGGACGGTGCTCGATTGTAAGTAACCGTCTTTCTCCAGACTGTGGCAAGTACATATTGGCTCACCAGGAAACAGTGACATTGCCGATCAGGTGTGGGTTTGGGAAAATGAAGATGGCTCAACATTCTACTTCGACATAGGAGAAATTGTCCGTTTTAGAGTTGAGATGGAGGAATGGCATGATCAGATTCCCAATGCCCCAGATCTAGGAGACGGCGCAACCATTGAAAGAAAGCCTCCGTACTCCATCATAGTATGTGCCCTCACGTTTCGATTTCTGGTGAACTCTAGTTTGGCTAATTGAAGATCTCAGGGCTCGATGCAAATGGCGGGTTTGGGCCCCGTGTCCTGGTGGTGATGGGAAAGATGATTAGTGAGGGTACTCCCATGTCTTTTTATGTTGTCTTTATGTATACGCCGGATGATACAACGGGCTGCAATTGGAGTTGACAAATGATCCCCATCATTGGCGTTGCTAGAATAGAGGACACGACAGCACTGAACGTATTGCCTATCGCATGATGAACCTGAGATGACAGTCAAGATATGATTACAAAAGTTCAGAAATGACGTGATCTGGATCCAGATAAAATTGTACTACTCTGAATGTAGTGTAAAGTTGCGGTTTGGATCACCTTATTAGAATGTACCTATCACAGTAGGTTCCGGATTACCATCTCTACGTCCATTTGTCATCAGGGGTTATACTAATTAACTTACTATTTGCAGATTGTGTGATGATCATTCAGATCGAAGGTTAGAGATACCTAATCTCTGTGGGCACGAAACATCACTGCATGCATCTGCCTGTCAGCAAGCAACATACATACCCAATAATTTATCTAGCCTATATGATACCTGCAAGATCCACGTTGTACTGGATCTGATTATCAATTGAATCTACATCTTCGGTTAGTGCCGGGAACGTCTGGTTCAGATGGGGACGGGTTCCGCCCTGTAGTTTTGTAGTGCAACGTAAAGGAAATTCAAAGAGAGTTTGATGGGAAAGAAAAAATCGGAGTCCGAAGGGCAGGAAAAATAATACTACTAGTAATAATCAATAATTCTTGATGTGTCAGTGTTTCTCCGTAGCACATTCCAGTCAAATATTTGTTGTCTGTTATTATTAATTGTCAATTGCTGACTCTTATAAACACGAGGACGCATGACCGGCGCCTTATTGGATTTTTTTTTGTGGGAGTGATCTCATACAACTATCTCCTCTGACTGATAACTAGATCGAATAAATCCGTTATCGATAAAATCTCATATATCTATATTCTTTCTCTCACCCCCTTCTTTTCTCGCCCTGATTGTACCAACCCTCAAATCGTCTTCAACATCGTCGACCGTTCACAATGACTGCATCTTCCAACGGCTACTCTCAGAATGGTGCAGATGCGCAGGAACGCCGCTTCGGCACGTTAGCTGTCCACGCTGGATCGCCTCATGATCCAACCACTGGCGCCGTCATTGCTCCTGTGAGTTCAAATGAATTGCGTTGCATCCATCGCTACTTATGGAGAAGGATAAGAGCTAACCATTAACATAGATTTCACTCTCCACAACATTCGCGCAAACCAGTGTCGGGAACCCCGTAGGTCTCTATGAGTACACCAGAAGCTCAAACCCAAACCGGTAGGCGACTGCCCCGAGACACAATTGAGACGATCATGCGAATGAATAGGCACTAAAGTTTCTCAGTGATAACTTCGAGCAAGCTGTTGCGGCCCTCGAACACGCGAAATACGCACTGGCCTTCTCATCCGGTTCGGCGACCACAGCTACCATCCTCCAGTCCCTAGCTGCAGGCTCTCACGTCGTCTCGGTGTCCGATGTATATGGTGGAACCCACCGATACTTTACAAAGGTCGCCTCGGCCCACGGTGTTCATGTAACATTCTCGCCTTGCATTGAAGTTGACGTGGAGGCATTGATCCGACCCGACGAGACCAAGCTGGTCTGGATTGAGACTCCGTCCAACCCCACCCTTGGCTTGGTCGACATTCGCAACGTAGCAGCCGTTGCGCACCGGCATGGTATCATTGTGGTGGTTGACAACACCTTCATGAGCCCCTATGTCCAGAATCCCTTGGACCACGGAGCCGATATCGTCGTGCACTCGGTCACTAAGTACATCAACGGTCATTCAGTAAGTTGTGACCCATCGTCTACTTGTAAGGCAGTTTACTGACCAAATATAGGATGTTCTCATGGGCGTCGCAGCCTTCAACTCTGACAGCCTGAAGGACCGTCTTACTTTCCTGCAGAATGCCATTGGGGCCGTTCCATCTCCTTTCGATTGCTGGCTCGCTCACCGTGGCCTCAAGACCCTTCATCTTCGCGCCCGTGAGGCGACGAATAACGCTACAATCGTCGCCAAGGCTCTCGAGTCGTCCCCTCATGTTATCTCTGTCAACTACCCGGGACTTGATTCGCATCCCCATCGCGCCATCGCTATTAAGCAACACCGCCAGGGAATGGGCGGTGGTATGCTGAGCTTCCGTATCAAGGGAGGCCAGAAAGCGGCTCATCTTTTCTGCCAATACACCAAGGTCTTTACTCTTGCTGAGAGTTTGGGCGGCGTGGAGAGTCTTTGCGAAGTCCCTTCGAGCATGACACACGCCGGCATTCCTAAGGATCAGCGTGAGGCCGCTGGTGTCTTCGATGACCTCGTCCGCATGAGCTGCGGTGTTGAGGATGCAGAGGATCTCAAGGCCGATACGCTCCAGGCTCTTGAGAAGGCTGTTCTTGCTAGCCAGCAGATGGAGAACGGAACTATGGAGAACGGATCTGCTTAATTTTTTCTTTTTTTTCCTGTTATTGCGAGTGAATCAAGATATAGACGACATTACATTATAACGCTGAAATGATAGATTTTGCAACATACGAAGACAACCGTCTCGTTAATGAAATTTCGATTTGGGGGCTGGGCCTAGACTTTTCAGATTCCACGTGAGAATTTAGCACAGATATGGCATTTGGATAGACAAGCTATAATAGACTACCATACTACATTTTCACTTAGGGGTTCAAGATTGTCATGAACCGCGATGGTCATTTGTAGTCGAGTATACCTTAGTTAGCATGTTAGGTGTGCTTAGTCATCAATATATTTCTCGCCAAATTTTTGGATCTTGTCTTCAAGAACTAGATGTCGACGCTGTCACTCTTCATTTCGACGAATCAAAGGCGGTCATCTTTATTTTCATAATTGTCTGCTGAAGACAATTACAGCTATATTCAGAACCCATGAATGTGTTGTCATATTGTGCTCGGCTTCTCCCAGAAAGCGTTCGGGTAAAGTTTGTTCAAGGTTAATCGAGCCTTTGCTTAGAAGAAAAGAAATAATTCCATAAGTGCGCAATGACATCGGCGTTCAGCTTCGGTTTCTCTGGGGATGACATCGACATTGATGAGAACGATCTCCATGGTGGTGATGAGAGAGATGTGAATGCTGTGGAGCATGCCAGCAACCAGATCACTGGAATATTAATGGAACCTCAGAAACATGATATGGGAGAATGGGTAAGTTCTGTGTGTCACTCATTCTGTTAGATTCCTTCCTAGGTAGTTGGGTAGCTACAGACGGGTCGCGTTTAAAGGCGATGGATTTGATGGAGAGGGAGAGAGGAATAGATGACGGCGGAGGATAATTCTTGATCGGTCATATATGCTCTATCTAACCTTCTTCTAGATGTCTACATTGCCATCACAAATATCGTACAACAAGCTCGTAATAAATGCATCTCATGGAGATGAGAGGACGTTCACCCTTGGACGTCGAGAGGTCTTCGACATTCGGACTCAGCTTATGGCCGAAGACAGTGCAGACCATGAGAATGAGGAACTTATCTCAGGGCTCGAAAAGGGGGATATCAAGCCTAATTTCTACGAAGGTGGCTTCAAGACATGGGAGTGTGCGTTGGATCTTGCCAAATTGGTTGCTAGTGAAGATCTGTCTCGTCAAGATGCGGACCAGCACATTATTGAGGTCCGTACTTCGGCCACCTAATCCTACTTCTGTATGCAGTTCTTGCTCAAATGGACGCTGACGGGGGAAACTAGCTCGGTGCTGGGACTGCGATACCCTCACTGACTCTCTTCGCGCAAGCACTGTGTCGACCGGAATCAGCGACGAACAAGATCCATTTCACATTCGCAGATTACAATTCTGCCGTCCTTCGCCTAGTCACGTTTCCGAACCTGCTTTTGACTTGGAACTACATAGTCACGCATAGGAATCCGCCCTCGAGGGAGGCAGCTTCGTCTGGGGACCAGCCTGATGAAGAAGAGCTTGACATCACGCCTGAGCTCCTGGAGATCTTTCAGCAAGATCTTGCAAGCAGGAAGATCACCTTTGAGTTCATTTCCGGTGCCTGGTCCCCCGCCTTTGTTGACTTGGTATTCTCCAGTTACGGCCAGGGCAAAGGGAAAACATTGATTCTTGCGAGTGAGACGATATACTCGCCGGCATCTCTGGCGCCCTTCTCGGAGACCTTGATTGCCTTGCTCCGCCGGTCTGAAACCGAACAAGAGCGGAGCAAAGCTCTTATAGCAGCGAAAAAGGTCTATTTCGGTGTGGGAGGTGGTGTAGACGAATTTCTGACGGTGCTGAAAAATGTCAATGGCAATGGCCTGGATGTGGAGGAGCAGGTGAATATTAACTCGGAAGGGGTCGGTCGAGTGATATTAAGGATTGCGCTCAGGAGTACCTGATCACTACATTGGGACTGATGCATATATATCAGCATGAACATAAGAACTACTTGGCAATATCGACCCGCTTTTTCCATCGTAAACGGCGGTGGAACGAGACTGGTCAATGAAACAGCAAAAGGAACGTTGACGGACGGGGCTACCGTAAATGAATTTGTAATATGTACAACACGCCCCCAAATCATGCCTAGCACTGACATTGCTTTAAAAAGATCTTGAAATAAGAGTCAACTTTGTCTAGTCATATAGAGACACAACCTTGCCGTCCTTCATCCGAGCGACGCGGGCCTCTTCCATCTGCTTGTTCTGCTGCTCGTAATGAGCAACAACACCGCTCAGGTCCACAGCTGAACCAGCAGGGACATTGTAAGGAGGAGAGGTATTGAAGCTGACTCTAGGAAATGCAGAAATCCATACGTTAGCTAGTGCTTTGGGCGGGACATAGGGAGCTCATATGAACGTACTCGGGCTGCTTTAATTCGAAAGTGGCTCTAGGGCCTTGAGACTGAAGCAGGTGGCGATCCTGAGCGGCCTTCTCCATAAGTGCTGTGTGAATGGCGTTCCTCTCCTCAAACAACTTCTCCGAAGGAGTCCACTTGTGGATGAGGTTGGAAATCCACGATTGCGAGCCCGATTCCTCAGTGGACTTGCTCAGGCGGTAAAGAACGTAGGCGGAGGCAAATGCACCGATGGTAACATAGAAGCTGCGCTGTGGAGATCAAAGAGTTGCAGTCAGAGATGAGGACGATTTCTGTCGTGGGGGAGATCAAACGTACGCCGAAGCTCTCGTTCACAGGCTCGGCATGAGCGGTATGAGAGGCAAAGCGACGGGGCTGCTGATTGCGCAGCAGCTGCCGCGCCGAAGCGACTGATTGTCTGGCGAAAGACATGTTGTGGAGAAAGACAATTGGCAATGCCGATTAATGACGATGATGCCGTCGCCGGATGATTTGAGGTTGAAAGCCGCGCGAGGGCTGTTTGACGGACGTCACATGACTCTACCTTCTTAGCTTAGCGCAACCTACGAAGTCTCCTGTACCTACTCCGTATAACTCGATGATTCAAAACGAGATCTTCAATGACTACTAGGCGAATACTGAAGACAGAAGAGTATGCGAATACTAATCATTGGCCATGAGCTTGAACAGATATAATTCAACAATCTTTCACTCAAATAAGAGTCAAAAGCAAGCCCCGCTGAGCTGTTGGTTCTGAATTACCTCGAAAGAATATAATAGTAGGCAATCTCTTAGAGTGGAGTCGAAATAGCCAACAATGTCGCTATCATTGACGGAATTGGTCACAAGAATCTCAAAGACGGGCCTGACCTTTCACTCTCTGTCGCTATCTGGATGGATGGACACTGGAGCCTGTCAAAAGTTCAATCAGCGCACGAACAGTAGGCATGCAGAAGCCATTGGAAGAAGCTCATTGCCTCAGGTCATATCCATCGATCTCCTCCGTTGCTCCATTGGCCTCTATGATAAGATGTTGGAAAATGCATGTCGCCTCAGACTCGCAGCAGCTCGGAGAATTGAGCCTTTCTTCTGGCAAGGCTATTCTTACCTTCTTACTTCCTCCTCTTAAATGGCCTTAGGTATTATAAATGAACGCACTTGTACATCAACCCGGTCCTTTAGCTCAGTCGGTTAGAGCGTGGTGCTAATAACGCCAAGGTCGCGAGTTCGACCCTCGTAGGGACCATTTTTTGGTTTTTTTTGCCGCATTTCTATACGGTCATCTTAAGCAAGCGGACTGCATTCAAGTCATCCCAATCAAGAACGCATTCATATTAGACCGGGATTGGCCTTTTCGCGAAACTTAGCATGATACTTCGCTTACTGGTCTCCAGTCTCCTGTTCTGTTGTACCTCTCATGACGCTGGTCAGATGCCCTAATCTTGGGCCCTAGAGCTAAACCTATCTGGCATGAAATGAGTGTCATGAATAGTCTATGTAGTCCGTGGTCATCAGTATTCAGTTACGGTGTACTTGGACATAATAATCAGAGGGCGCTAACTAGTAAAAGAGACCAACTACAACCGTAACTCCTCATACCCAACAACTGATGAACCAAGGCTCAAAGCGTATTTTTGTCTTCTTCGTCGCTCGAATCAACTGTCATATGAGCCCAGCCACCTCGACCGCCTGAATATGCTCATGGCCGTCCAAAAACAGGAGATTGCTATTTCACACGCTGTCACGCACCAATATGCTGCCGTGAACTAATTACTCGGGCTATGCTTCGGGATCATTCTAGCTCCAAGAGTTCGAACCTATCACCCTAGCTTCTGCTCCATACACATCAATAAGGCGGGTCTCTGCGTTGTCGCATTCACAATGGCTGCTCTGCAATACACACCGCACTACTCCGTACAGGTGGTACTGCTAAATTAGACTACTGGTTTGCCAGTGCTTTGCTCTGAGATACTAACCGAGTAACTAACTGCCTCACATTCAAACTGGCGCTCCCCACTGCTCCCATTGGGCCCATTGTTATTGGGCTCTTCCCTGTTGCCAATAATATAGGCTTCAAAACGTCTGGATACCAAAGGGGACATGTCATCGATCTCCATCCTCCAGTTGTCTCTAGCGTGGAAACCCCACATCCCATTCCCTGCCTCTTGGTCTCTCGAGTACAGGCAGCTACTTGCAGGACACGCCTGCCTGCCGTTTCGCCATGGGAAAAATGAAGCACTCGAGGACAAATCCAACTGATCGTGTGTCGTATTGAGCTTTGACAATTTTTTTTTCCCTCAATCGGTTCAGATTGCAGCGTTCCGAGTTTGCCATGCCAGCTCATGATTGATCCTGCCACCCGGAAGATGCAGTTTCATTTTGATGCCCAACCCACTTTACTTCACCATGATCGTTCGGTCATGTAGGTTGGGAACCGACGGCTTCGGACCCATTCTTTACAATTACCGCTTTAGCACCCAAAAGCACGGTCTTGAGATCGCCTAACTACCAGTACTATGGTGTGACTCGAACGACCCATGCATACTGATTGGTATTGGACTAAGGTTCGGTCCGCTTTCTTCCTCGTCCAGCCTCAGAGAGGCTGGTTGGATCGTTCTCGTGTG